TCAAATCATATTCAAAATTTGTCAAAAATTTTGAATTGAAAAATAAAATAAATCAAATCTTATCCAAGCTTTTGAATTGGAAAATAAAACTCCAAAGATGTAAAAAAAAAATACCTTGAAATTTTGGTAAATTATAAAGTATGGGCATATGCACTTTTATTTATGTTATATATTATTGGATTAAATACTAAATAAAATAATTATATAAAAGTTATAATAGGGGAAACTAATACAGAAAGAGGAAAATTAGAGATAGTGTGAGAGAATTTATGCTTTTAATTAATTTAAACATAAAATAATAAATAATAAATAAACATACTCAAAAAGTATTATTGATAAGAAAATTCTCTCTCACTCTCTCTCTCTCTCTATATATATATAAGTTAATAATATATATATATATATATGTGTGTGTGTGTGTGTGTGTGTGTGTGTGTATATAATAAAATAAAAATTATTAAAAATATTGGTAAATGTTTTGCAAAAATAGTAAAAGGCTTATCTCTTTTTAGTTTTAAGGAATTAAAAATTATAATTTAGTAACAAAAATATTACATTATTTAATAAAAAATTAATCAACTATTATAGTAGAAAAGAATGTATGAAAAGAGAGAATAAAGATAATATGAGAATATTTATACTTTAAATCAATTAAATATGCAAAAGGTACGTAAATAGTACTCAAGAAATTTATTGAGAAATTTATACAATTAAAAATTTAAACAATAAAACATAAGTTTTAAAAAGTAAAAATATTTTTAGAGTAAGAAAAATATATCTATTTTATATTAAAAGAAATAGTGATAAAATATCAGGACAATTGACAAGTTAATAAAAAGTCACATTAGTAAAAAAAAAATACTTAGTACTTGCTAATTTATTAAAGAATTAAATAAGAATCAAATAATTTATTTGATTACCATATTATGTGTATCCTTTAAATTTATATATATATATATATATATATATTTTGTTATATTTATGCACAGTGCATTACAAAATAAAATAGCAACTAAATTTTATTAAAATAATATTAAATCATATTAAAATTTCATAAGATTAATACTCTATCAAAATATCCGCGCATCGCGCGGGTTTTAATACTAGTAGATTAATATACGTTAAAAAACTTGACCAAAAAACGACATATTTAATAATGTATTTGTTTTTATAAATCTAAAATATTTTTTTAGTTACTAAGAGTAGGCAACCTCCACTTCCAACCAAGAGGTTGTGAGTTCGAGTCTCCCAAGAGCAAGGTGGGAAGTTCTTGGAGGAAGTATGCTGAATTTCTATTTGGAAACAGCATCTCTATCCCAAAGATAAGGTTTGTGTACACACTAACCTACCCAGATCTCACTTAGTGGGATTATAGTGGGTTGTAGTTGTTGTTATTAAGAGCAGGAAAGAAAAATTATTTTATATAAATTTTAAGTGAGGAGGTCGAATATGTTTGAATTTGCTATTTGGTTGCAGCACACCCTTCACGGCCATCCCCGCCCCAGCACTGGCCACCGTCGTGTCATGGAGAATTGAGAATTCTACAACTCCGGTGGAAGAATCCGGCGAAGATATCATCAAACACTCTACTTTCATTCGGCCCTTTCAATTCCACAACCCAAATCCGGTGGAAGAAACCAGCAAACACAACCCCTTAATTAGGGTTTCGGCAACTATAAATCAAGGACACAAGTTCCGCAGTCGACCTGAACTAGGGTTTTTGGTGTTTTGTGGCTGTGCAGACTGCAGGTATTGGGCAAAATGGGAGAAGAGAAGAGAAGAGAGAAGTAATATTCAGAGACTTAAGACGATATTACTGTGAATTTTGTGGGATTTGCCGCTCCAAAAAGTCCCTTATATCCTCTCATATCCTCTCCCATCATCAAGTATGTGTTTCTTCTTTTCTGGATTTACGTTTTGCTTTGCATCCAATTAATAAATTTATCACTTGCTTAATAAGCTGCAAATAGATCTGACTGTTTTTGCTAGCTTTCTTGTATCCTAAAGTTGATATTGAGTAATTATTAGCTTAATTGGCCAGAAATAAAATGTGAAATACTCTAAGGATTTGTTTGGTTCACGGACTACTTATAATAGATTGTTATGCCTGGAATAAATAATACATGAATTATTATGTTTCTGGATTTCAATACTAGTACCATGCTAGTATTATTGTCTTTTTATGTGCTCTTTTTCGTTTATTGGAAAACAAGTGCTGTATTAGTAGCATAGAATTTTATGTGTATTGATTATACCTATTCATCAAACAAAACGAGCCCTTTAACGTGTGTTGTGTAATATAAATTGGGAATCATAGGTGAACATAAAATTGAAGATTTTCTTGTGGTTGAGCTTAAACTTTTAGTTATGTGTTCAGAGAGATGCTGATTTGGTTAGTCAGAGGAACGAAAACTGAAATGGGTCCTGTTTTTTTTTAATAGGATGAAATGGAGAAGCGGAAAGATGAGGCAAATGAAGATGCAAAGATAAACGAAGGCCCAAAACCGAATATTTGTGAAGAATGTGGTGTGAGCCTTCAGAAGCCTGCTCATTTGAAGCAGCATATGCAGAGTCTGCTCATTTGAAGCAGCATATGCAGAGTCATTCACTCGAGGTATCTTTTGTGTGTGTTCTTCGTTTGTGATGTTGACGAGCTCTTATTACTTTACTGGGAGTTCAGTTTTGAGGTTATAATAAGCCTTCATATTTTCTGATTTTTTTTTGTATACATTTAATGTTTAACGACTTTGCAGATTGAGGTAATTTGAGAAACATTGTGGAATTATGTGAAGGTGTGAAGCATTGGATCCCATATAAAGAACTCCAAAATGCAAGAGGCAGGTATTTTTGCTCGACTGGATCAGTATCAGGAAGGGGACCTCTTGAGAAGCTCCATCAAGTGAGCCTCAATCACGGCTTATAATCTTGGTGGTTAGAGACTCATCCCAGTTACCCCTCCTCCCAAATACAAAAAAAGCTTATTTTTTCTCTCCATTAGCATATGTGGATTTTGGTCAAGGACCTCCACAGATTGAAACATTCTTAAAATGTTTTCTTCTTGATCTTTTGCATGAATAGAGGCCATTTGTATGCCATATAGATGACTGCCAGTCCAGCTACCGTAGAAAGGATCACTTGACGAGACATCTCTTGCAGCACCAAGGGAAGTTGTTTGAGTGTCCTGTTGATGGGTGCAAACGCGCATTTAGTATCCAAGGCAACATGACTCGGCATGTCAAAGAGATGCATGACCAGCATGCCTCCCCTGAGGCCAGTCTTCCAAAGCAGTATGTCTGTGCAGAACCTTGTTGTGGGAAGGTGTTTAAATTTGCATCCAAATTAAAGAAACATGAGGATTCTCATGGCAAGTCAAACTTCAAAATTTTATTTATCTGTGAAGTATTATTGTTTATGCTTTTCTGGTGTTGAAAACTTCCAATAATGACACCTTAAATTGCCATGTATTCATGCAGTTAAGTTGGAGACAATGGAAGCACTTTGTTTAGAGCCAGGCTGTATGAAACATTTCACAGATGAGAAGTGCCTCAAGGAACACGTGGAGAGTTGCCACCAGCATGTTGTGTGTGAAATATGTGGAACCAAGCAATTGAAGAAGAATATTAAGCGGCATCTACTTCCGCATGAAGGAGAGTCTACATCCGAGAGAATAAAATGTGAATTCCAGGATTGTCAGCACACTTTCTCCACTGTAAGACTGTTGCATTTTCTTATATGTAAATAAAGCTCCTTTCTATTAAGTGGAACAGTAGTGATAAATTTAGAAAGCAATAGCACTAACTCATTATGAGTGTGAGGAAAAATTACGTCTGCAGCAAACCAACATTGTTTTAAACTCATCCTCAGCCTGTAGTGCATCCAGTTAAGTGCATAAGAGTGAATAGTGTTCTCACTGAAATATTTGTTGCTTGAAAAACAGAAATCAAATCTTATTCAGCACGTCAAAGCTGTGCACCTGGGGGATAAACCATTCTCATGTAGCATTGCTGGTTGTGGTATGAAATTTGCCTTCAAGCATGTGAGAGATAGACATGAAAAGTCTGGCTGTCATGTTTATACTCCTGTAAGTAGAATGTATATATTGCTTGAAAGCACAAGTCATTCAGGTCTGTTTGCTTCTAATATTCGTGAGAGTGACTTGAGGCGTGTTGATTTTGTCTTGTGTAGGGTGATTTCGTAGAGGCTGACGAGCAATTCCGCTCCAGACCAAGAGGTGGTAGGAAGAGGAAGCTTCCTGTTTTCGAGGCAATTATGCGGAAAAGGATAGCACCACCCTGTGGTCTATCAAGGATCAGAATATCTCTCATGGTTACTCTCAGCAGAATCAGATGAAGAGCTGTGAGTCTATCCAGATGCTGGGTCAAATCATGGGCCAGAAATCTCATGGTTCTTCTCAGTCGAATCAGAGGATGAACTCTGATCGTCTCCTGGACAGCTAGTGTATATAAGTTTTTACTAGAAAAAAGTATACGCTGTCCATAAGTTAAATCTAGCACAATGCTTGTTCTATAATCCAATGGATAAGTATTATCTTAACCGTCGACTCTTTCCCAAGACTCCTTATCTCTTTGTTTCCTTTGATCTCGAGGTGTTTTATTAAGCATGAAGGTTAATAAAAACTAAAAAACAATCCCACACCGTGGGGTTTCGGGGGGGTGTATGCAAACATTACCCTTATCTTGAGAAGGTAGAGAGGCTCTCTAGTACTTGTTTGAGCTTTTCAGCAAAAGCCTGTTGTATCTTGTATATTGGTTCCCTGTAAGCCAGGTCTAATCCAACTTTTAAGTCATATTATAAACTTTTGAAGTTGAATTATGAATGTGGCTTCAACTTATTCATAACATGGATGGGCCAACCACTGCTCTAGTATAACACCCCCATGTGGCAGAATCGTACCAGCCGCTGCTGAGATTTCCTCCAAAGGCTATACCAAGAAGATCAAGATGCATTCTGTTCCATTTTCATTCTGAATTAAACCTCAGTGAATCCTTAAAACTATCTTGAATTGCAAGAATAGGCTCCATTTCTTGGCATAGTTGTACAAAACAAAATAAGTGATTTGGCAAAGTACGAGTATATAAAGATGGTCATCATTCTATGTTCAAAAGTCCATAAGAAGCAAAAAAAAAATTGAAAAGAAAAAAAAAAAGAACCACCAGGAGAACTTGTGAAGGACATTCGAACTATGATCACATACTGAAATTATGAATCTATAAACCAAGGTTGTCGTTGTTTCTACTGAGGCTTTGTCAAACTCAAGCTGAAATCCCAGAGTTTCTTTGCCAACTCTGTATCTCTAGCATGAGAAGTTGGTGTAGCAACATTGCTGTCTGAAAAATATTCACCGGTTATCCCCTTCACCTGAGGATGCAACGCCACATAGCACGTAGTTGCCGCTCCCTAGAATCAAGGGAGAAACATATAAGAAAACAAATGTAAAATCTTGTGGCAGACAGTTTATGTCTTATATTTGCAAGAAACTAGTCACCTGTGGAATATCTTTAATAAAGTATTTGCCAATCCAGTTAACTATGCCTGCAAGAAGTCGAAATCAAACATTAATTTTAATGTAATTTTCTTGCAACTTCAATTGAAGAGAGTTGCAACAAACCTAACTTTTATCAAACCAACCAAAACACAGATATAAGCGCAGGTGTTAATTTTTTTATACGATTGAAGGTTACGATTTCATGAGACATGCGATAAAAACAATAAGAACCGTGTTGGAAGATGAAAAAATTACCTTCAATCAAATTCTGGTGACGCATGAGGTTGGTATTTATTGCCCCTGGGTGAAGCGAATTTGCAGTTATCTCCAATCCTTCATCCTGTAAGACAAGTAGCTTTAGAGCTTATGCTTAACAAGAACAGAGATCCACTTCATCATACAGCATTCCTTCTAGGACAGGTTTAAACGTCATTTTTAAAGAAATAATAGAAACCTTCTTTCACGGAATTAACAGTGTCATAAGTGCCTAGGCATATTGAACATAAACTCATAATTTCACTGACTATAAATGTTCCCTTGGGTGGGTATGTTCCGAGTACAGTTCTATCACATGAAAGTTGCACAATATCATATATAGTGGCTCAACTAACAACAATGAAATTTCAAATAGTAAGAGTTTGCTGATCAACCTTTGGTCGCCAAACAATCAACGGTTGAGGCTTGAGATAGAAGTTGCACCTGAATTCATGATTAGTGGGTCTGAAAGTGTGGTCACGCATGGTCACTCATGTACATACTGTACCAAATTGTCCTAGGAGCCAGTTCAGGAATGGAAACTACAATTTTTTTTTTTTGCAATAACTGACCAGGTAAAACAAATATAACAAAACTAAGTAGAACTATGAGAATTCTCCTGGAAGGTTATTAAGAATACACTCGGTTCTACGCAAGTTAAACGACCAATGCAATTGGTTCACCTTGTAATTTCTAACAAGTGACTGAAGGCTGAGAAGCTACTTCAAGAAGATGCACTTCTAATGGCTCTCACCATTCCTCACACCTGCCTACAGGCTCTTCCCTTTCTACTCTATGTTTTTTTAAATCTTTTAATGGTGAAATGCAAAACTGCAAGATATCGAACACATGGCAAAACTCACATCGAACATGTGGCATTGACCTTTACTAAATGAATTTACATGATGGGTGAAATTCAAAACTGCAAGATATTGAACACATGGCAAAACTCACATCGAACATGTGGCATTGACCTTTACTAAATGAATTTACATGATGGGTGAAATTCAAAACTGCAAGATATTGAACACATGGCAAAACTCACATCGAACATGTGGCATTGACCTTTACTAAATGAATTTACATGATGGGTGAAATTCAAAACTGCAAGATATTGAACACATGGCAAAACTCACATCGAACATGTGGCATTGACCTTTACTAAATGAATTTACATGATGGGTGAAATTCAAAACTGCAAGATATTGAACACATGGCAAAACTCACATCGAACATGTGGCATTGACCTTTACTAAATGAATTTACATGATGGGTGAAATTCAAAACTGCAAGATATTGAACACATGGCAAAACTCACATCGAACATGTGGCATTGACCTTTACTAAATGAATTTACATGATGGATGAAAAATTGCCATCTACTCTTACTGAGACACAAGAACAATTTCATCATTCAAATGAGAAAACTGTCGCTTAATTGTCTGTGAACATTTCTTGGGTTGTGTCATTATTCGGAAAACAATTTCAAATTAACTGACCTTTTTGCATAAAATGATGTATAGGATACAAGATCATCTGTGATACTCCCAGGATATCAAGAATGAACCAAAATCTATTGCTAGAACTTAGCAACATGCTGCCCCAGCTTAAGGAAAGGGGCTCGAAAATAAGGGAAAGAATAATGTACTTGGATGCATGCAAGGTCTTCTTTCACGAATTACTTTAGTTCCTACACTTTGGTACCAGGATGAGGATCAATGAAAAACTAAAACTTGCACATAAATGGCGGGAACTGTTGAAATGTACATTCTTAGTAAATTAAACAATAATTCCACTTTTTTATTTATCCATATTTTAAATATTCTTAATAATAATGCCACTTTGAAACTGTCACTCGGTGAGAAGAACCTAGACATGGACATAAGATCAAATTGACATAATTAAATGTTTCCTCTGGATGTTAAAATGTTCAATTAGTTACCCGTCGCAGTCTCGCAGAATTAAAGAGAAGCTTCAATAACCAGAAGATAATAGTTTACCTTCAAACGCCTTGCAAGTTCGTTAGCATGTAGGATATTAGCAAGCTTTGATTGTCCATAAGCATACCAAGAAGTGTAACTGAAATAGACAAATAATTATCGTCAAATCTCTTGTTCAAAGAAAGATCCACTGCCAGATCCTGAATCTAATGTGCCGTGCGTGGTTCTTCATTCTGTTTTCCTGTTATAATTTGCAGTTTTATACTGCTCTACTTTCAAACAGGTTGTTAAATAAAACTGACAACTATATATTCATCAACCAACAGATGTGAAGTACAAAAACTTGAAGCATTGACAACAACATTGAATATTGCAAAACCAAGTATAGCAAGAAAATTAAAAGATAGAACAAGGAATTAATACTGTTTCAACTTTGGATTTTTCCAAAATAATCTCTACTGTCCAAAAACTTAACTTGCCACATTCTTTTTTTCTTTGATAAACAACCTAAATCCGAACTAGAAATCAGAAGTAACATATAGCCCCACTTTTAGACTCAGTCTTCAAATTAAAATTCATATTTCAGACTCTAAAACTGCTACATCTATGTTTTATCATTGAAGTTGTGCCAGTATCAAAGCAGAGATAAATTGAATACTAGTAAGAATATGAAGAGGCCAGAGGGCAACCATGAACTACCTATCTTTGTCATTGATTTTGTCAAAGCGAATTCCTTCACGGTATGTGAACTTATGTCCCATTGATGAAACATTAACAATCCTTCCTTCTTTGTGGCTCTGTTGAGCTGTATTTTTCAGGTTCTCTAGCAAAAGATTTGTCAAAAGAAAATGACCTGCACAAACAATAGTAGTCTTCTTATATTGGCGGTACTTCAACCTGAAACCATCCTATTAGTGCATAACAAGTCCAAGAGAACAAAACACACACGGCTGTACACATCTGATTGTTGACTAATAAAGCCAGGGTAACTTCAAGAAGATCAGTCTCTTTTTTATTGGTAAAACGTAATATTTTAGATAATAATTAAAAAAAAAAGAATGATCTCCCCGAAGTTAGGTGGATCATTCTTAGACTGATATCGTTAAAACACTGGTTATACAATAGGCAGCAATTTCACCTTTTATAGTCATAAAGGTTTCGACGCAACTTCTGAGTATAAAGGACTTTGTAGGTTGAAAAGTGTAGCCATAAGATACATCAAACAGAGAACCTCCCCTCTTCTAAGACACAAACACTAACTAGCCTTGGTATGGAAGCAAGAAGCTCAACTTAATGAAAAAGCTCGTCTACAAGCCAACGAATATACCTCTCACCATTATGCTATTTTCATAAAATAGTAGTAAAACAAAATGATAAAATGTCAAACCTTGAGAAAGGGTCCGTGTATTGTACCAACTACCATGTCAAGGAATGACTATGTATTGTGAAAATTCTTCATGAATGTGAATATTCAACTAAGATACTTTAAAAAGACATAAGAAATAAACTCATTTACCTAGATGATTAGTTGCAAACTGCAATTCAATGTTGTCTTGAGAAAGCATGAATGGCGGAGCCATAACCCCTGCATTATTGCTTCAAAAATAAAAGAGGTATTTAATTTCTTAATATTCATGCATTAAGGTGGAAGGCAGAGTGGACAATGTTCATTCCAAGCTATGCCAATGGACGAAACATGAATGCAGAAGTCCAATTATGACTGTGCATTGCACCCTTAAAACAGTTAAAAGACTATTTTCTTACATTAGGATGTTCAGAGGATGGCCAGAAGAGTTATACTCTGATGCAAACTTCCTAACGGATGCCACAGAACTGAGATCCAACTCCATTACATCAATTTTGGCATGAGGAATCTCTTTAAGAATACTTTCTTTAACTTCTGCGCCAGTTTTTACATTGCGAACTGCCATTACTACATGTGCGCCACGCATTGCAAGGACACGCGTTGTTTCTGCACCAATACCACTTGATGCTCCTGAAAATGAATAGTTCCATACAAAAGTAAGCCTTTGTTCAGCTTGCATTCACAAGCTAGTGAGTAATTGAGAGGCAACCATCATCCAAATTCAAAATGACCCTCTTAAATGCCCGAAAAGCAATATGAAACTCTACTGAAAAATAAACTTATTCTTGAAACCAATAGATTCTGAACTCCTGCTAGTTATGAAAAATAAAAATAAAGAAGATAAGAGGCCTTCTTCTATCATATAAAGATAGTTATTTCACACTTTCTCTAATGCGGAACATGGGATTTCAAGGGAGATAAGATGAAATAAGCTGCTAATTTCTTTTTTCAAATGGGTGGTATAAGTAGCTAACTTCAGAGATCTCTTTCTGATTTCTTCAATATGAAACAACAATAAAATCATGGATTACCCCCACTCCAAACCTCCCATGTCAGTGACAAATTACTATCTCTTGAAAATAGAAATGTCAATAGGTAAGAAACATTTCATCTTTTTTTTGATAACCGTAGTGTGCGGACGAGCTTACGCACACCTCGACTAATTTCACGGAATATCTACTACCTCCCACCAGCAACAGGTACCACGTAACTCTGTAATAAACATTTCATCTTGAACTCTGTTAAGTAGTTATCCAATGATCATTTCTTTCCATTAACATCCACTTTCAACTTCCATATATTATATCAAGAAATACAGTCAAATCAACTACACTTCAATCCTGAGCTAGTTAGACTCAGCTATATGAATCCTCTCTATCCATTTCACTTTCATTGAATATCGAACACATTCAGCAAATTTATTCAGAGGATGTTCGTATCATATTAGACTATTTTTACATAGGCCGTCACTTACCACAACCCTCCTCCTTAATCCGCGCTAAAAAAGAACCATGCTTTGGAAACTCGGATCGAGTTTATATCAACAAACACAATAAAAGGGCAGCCCGATGCACTAAGGGGTCACCACAAGGGTCTATTGCACGCAGTCATACCTGCATTTCTGCGAGAGGTTGTTTCCACGGCCTATTGCAACAATAACAAACTAAAGTAGCAGGCACAGTTCAACATATTTCCTTTCACTACAAACAATAAGTGGATAACTAATACCGTATACAGATAAGAAAATAATAGAGTCAAATGAAAAAGAAAAAAAAACTAAAAAAAGGAGATACCAAATTGATCAATCAAAACATTGGGAAAATGGGTATTGAAGAAAAACAAAAACTTCAAAAAGAAAAAAAAAAGGTGGTGGAACCTGTAACAATGGCAGTGAGGCCAGTAGCATCAATTCCTTGAGTAACTTCTTCAGCAGTAGAAGAAGCTGAAAATCCAGATCCTCCTTTTCTTCCAAAAATCCACATCTTTTTTTTTTGCTCTGAGTTTTCTTTGGAGTGTTGACTTATTGATTAGTGTAAATCAAGGAAATGCTGTAATTAGTTCTTTATTTCTATGAAATATATATATATATATATATATAGTAGTATGTTATATTTTAAAGAGTAAAGACAAATTTTCTTTCTTGGGCACAGAGGTATTGATAAAACCAAGAATTTTACCTATAAAACAACAAAGGAAAAAGACAATAATGATCCACTATTTGTTTTCTTTTAGAGTGGATTACTCACAAAAAATACACCACCAACTAAATATTATTATGAATAATTATAATATTTACCTTAATGTAATTATGGGTAAATCACTCTGATAATATAATCAACAACCCAATAAAATTCCACTAATTGGATTTGGGAAGGTTAGTGTGTACGCATGCCTTACCCCTGCCCGAGAGAATAGGGAGGAGTAGAGAGGTTGTTTCCGAAAAACTCTCGGCTCAAAGATAACAGAAAGACAAGAGATAATATTAGTACCACCACAGAATCTAATAATATAATCAGTATTTTTATTATTAGAGTCTTACTTTATTAAACTGAAAGGTTGAAAAAAAAAAAGTTTAACTATAAAATCGTTTAAAACGTAATTACATGTACGTACTATATTAAATGGAACTATTACGGTTGATTGTTGTCGTTCCTGTTGATGAAAATAAAGCAAGGTTCAGAAAAAATTGACTATTTAAAAAACTTACAACAAAACTATTACAGTTCCAATAATTTACAATTACAAATATGTGAAAAGCTTTTGAAATATTGAATTTAACTCCCCAAATATATTATTTTTTCCTTTTTCCTTTTTTCTTTTGGGTTGAGAGAGGAAGCCCATCAAAACCAACTTTTCTTATTTTATGGAAGACAATTTGCATGGGAGGCTGCAAGGAACACTTTTTTTTTTCCAATTCCTCATCTTTATTTTATTGGCTTTTATTTTTGAGAGCGAATATATATTTTTTAATATTATTAATAATCTACCCTCTCCTTAGCTTTCCATTTTCTACTACCTCTGGTTAGATCTCCACTATGCTCTAGTAGCAAAGGTAAGTAGATTATAACCTCCAACATATACTCGTGCATTTAATGACGGAGCCAAAATTTTAATTAAGAAAAATCAAAATATAAAAAAAAATAAACTCATCAGAAATCAAGAATATCATTATATAGTATATATACATATTTTTTTAAAAATTATTAAACTAAAAAATATAATTTTCTGACGCCACATACGTATATGTGTTATCTCCTACTAACACATATACTCAGAAACTTTGTCAACCAAAATTAGGTTTGTGACCGCTACAATTTGAACTTAATCATTGTCAACTTTGCTACCTCTACCTATTCTTTAGCATCAAATTAAATCTTAAATCCTCGAGGAAGAAGAGGGGGCCACACCCGGGGGGGGGGGGGGGGGGGGGGGAAGAGTATTAAAAGGATAAAATAAAGAACCTTCATTAATAGGGTACAGTACAACAAAACCTGATAATTTACACACATAATAGACATTTGAACACAAGAAAATCCACATTACAAATACATCAGAAGGATAGGATTAAAATTTAACCCCCCAAAAAAAGGTACAGAGTCTTGAAAATTCAGAAAGATTAAGGCTTCTTGAGGAAACTTAAGACGACTTGTGGAATGGAATGGCTCTGATGATTATTTGATGGTAAACTGCAGCAAGTGCAGCTCCAATGAATGGTCCAACCCAAAAGATCCACTGTTGAAAATCAACAAAAACAAATTACAACTTGTTAGCTATAGCTCTTTACCATGCTACAAAAAAGAAATATTGTTCTTTTTTTTTGTTACAATAACAGTGACGTTCAGACCAGCTTGAGAGAAAGAAATGTTTTTTAAGGATTTAGATCGAACACTTACGTGGTCGTCCCATGCCTGGTCTGTGTTGTAGATGATCGCAGCTCCAAGACTCCTAGCGGGGTTGATGCCAGTTCCGGTGATGGGAATGGTGGCCAAATGAACCAAGAAAACCGCGAATCCGATGGGAAGTGGTGCCAAAATCTGCAACACCATCCAAAATTTTCACAATGATGTCTTGATTTTAATGAGAAATTTAGCTTCTACACGCTGAACAATGTAAAGTTATACTGTCAAATCACCTAAAAGGTAACTACAGATGAACGACAACCCACAAGTTTTAAGTTACTAATTTGGTTAGATTGGTGGTAAGGACTCATTGTTTCATACTACAACCAAAGAGCATGACTTGTGACCCAAATCTCAACTTTTCGTGCACTAAGCTCCCTCCCGCTATGCGCGGGTCCCGGGAAGATTCAGACCACAAGGGTCTATTATATGCAGCTTTACTCTACGTCAAGAGGCTGGCTGTTTCCACAACCGGCATTCCAGCAACTTTTCTCAACTTTTCTAAGAGAAAGACAATAAATTTAAAACCCTATTGGGAGTAGATGAGAAATATTTCAAACACAACTAGGACCACAACATTCTGATATGGAGAATCACTGCATTATTTCATCTATCTAACAAAAAGAGCCAGACCTACAGTAGCTCATTCACGTGAATATCACTATCTTTAGCCAAACTCATAGGAGTAGCATATTTTTCAATGGCATGGGTCCCCGGGTCCCCTTAAGATAATACACAACACCAACTAAAAGCACTTGCTGACAAAACCAAACATGCCACATGCTAGCATGAACATTATTTTAGCTGCACCAAAAAGCAAGACCACTTGTCCTAAATAATTTACCTTTAATAATATACTGTACATTGTAAATAACTTTTACACTATATAGTAGGTACTCATGTCCTTTTTCTCAATGTTACTAATCTCACCTTTTAGATAATCTCACCTTTTAGAGATAGTTGTCGGATACAGCCTCTCGATCTTAATAGACCCCATTCCACTGATTTATAGAATATTCCACTGATTTATAGACCCCACTTATGATATTCCACTGATTTATAGACCCCACTTATGATATTCCACTGATTTATAGACCCCACTTATGATATTCCACTGATTTTTGTTGTTGTTGTCGTAGTAATATATCTTATAAATGCATAAATTCTTATTTCTCAAGTAATTATCTACACATATTATGGACGGTCAACTATAGTTATCCATAGTTATCCAAATTAAGTGTGTAAAAGTTAGCTCTATCCTAAAGCCAATCCACTCACCCACCCCCACAACTTCTGCTTCCCCCAAAAAAACTTTTCATAAAATAATTTTTCATATAAGAAAGTGGAAAAAACAGATTCAAGCAGAATTTACATCCAATTCTCTACAACCAAGGCTTACAAGTACAAGGTCAAATGGAACCTAAATCAAACAGGTAAATTTTCAAGATAAGCAATTTGATAGCACAAAGAAGTAATATTTGAACCAAAAACATGTTAATCTTAAAATTGCAATAGAAAACTTACAGGAACATGTGAGTCTCTGGCATTTCTCTTAGCATCAGTAGCAGAGAAAACAGTGTAAACAAGGACAAAAGTGCCAATAATTTCAGCACCAAGGCCATCACCTTTGGTGTAACCATGGTTAACAACATTAGCACCACCACCAAGTCTCTGGTATGGACCAACCATGAATCCCTTCACAACACCAGCACCACAAATTGCACCAAGGCATTGCATCACTATGTAGAAAATAGCCCTGGTTAAGGACAGTTTCCTTGCCAAGAACAATCCAAAGGTCACAGCTGGGTTGATGTGTCCTCCTGTTTCATTTCAAAACACAATATAGTTCAGTTTTTGAGGGGGAAAAAAAATAAACCCCATAGGTCCAAAAGCCAAACTAAAGAAGGAAAAGACTCCATCTTTTGTAATTTAGACAGAGAGTAAAACAATAACATGTTTTGAGCTTCTAAAATAGGGAAAGACTGAATCTTTTTGTGAGTAAATTCAAGAATCCATATAATTAGATGATTTATGATAACAATAAGTAACCACAAGCTCAATATGGTGAGCAAAGAAAAAAAACCACAAAATGTCAAACAATAAAAAACACAGTATTTTTTTTTTTTTTTTTGAGACTGGTAACTTTTCAAACACACACACACACTAAAAGTCATATTTTAGCATAAAGAGGTAAAGGTACAAGCTTGAGCAAACAAGATAAAGGGAAAACTCCATTCTTGTAATTTAGACACAGAAAGTAAACCAATAACATGTTTATAACCTCTAAAACAGGAAAAAACGATCTTTTTTTATAAATACTCAAGAATCCATTAAATTATTTAACAAAAGTATGTTGTAAGCACAAAGTAAGTAACCACAAGTTAAAATATGGTGAGCAAAAGAAAGGAAAACAAAGAGAATCAGCCACAAAAGATCACATTTTTACAGTATAAAAGTTAAAGGAACAAGCTTTAGCAAGGTAATGACTAATAAGAGGCAGTAATTTAGACACAGAAAGTAAACTAATAGTAACATGTCTTAAACTACTGAAACAGGGAAAACTGATATTTTTTTCTTAGTATCCTCAAGAATAACAACAAAAATCAGTGTAATTCTACAAAGTCGGGTCGGGTCTATGGAGGGTGGCGGGTACGCAGGCCTTAAGCCTACTTGAGTATAGAAAGACTATAGAAAGACTATTCCGATAAACCCTCGGCTCACAAAAAGACAAGCAGTAACAAAACAAGATCTTATTATGCTCAAGAATCCAAAAAATTACTTGACAAAAGTATGATGTAGAAAATAAGTAACCACAAGCTCAAATATGGTGCCACAAAAAGCTATACTAATACTATAATAAGAGTAAAGGAACAAACTTTAAGCAAGATAATGACTAAGAAACAACAAGAAATGAAAAGGAAAAAACTAACCTGAGATACCAGCAGTACAGTAAACCAAAGCAAAGATCATACCACCAAAAGCCCAAGCAACACCTTGAATACCAACTGAACTACACAGACTATCAGATCTCTTAAGACCCATAACAGTCAAGATAGTGATGTACAAAAACAAGAAAGTAGCCATAAATTCTGCAATTCCAGCTCTGTAAAATGACCATGATGATAATTCCCCTGGTTCAAACAAAGGAGCTGGTGGTGGTTCTTTGTAATCTTTGTCTGTTTGAGCAGCTGTTCCTAATGGCTGTGTTTCTCTGAATTTGTTAGCTCCAAGCTTAACATCTTCTTCTTTGTTTTCTGCCATTTGAACACTCACTAAACTTACCTTGTTTTTCTCTCTTTATTGTGCTAAGTGGATAGTACAAAAACCAAGTTTGGTGTTGAGAAAAGATAGAGTTGTGGTTGTTTTATAGTGGAGAACTCATTTATGAAGACAAATTAATTAAAGTGTTACATTCTTATTAAATTGGTCTGGTTAATTATTGAGTTGGTCGGTCTATATTTTTTTCCTAATTAGCATAAACATTCTGTCCTGACTTAATCGGTAAAGTTATGAATTTGAGCCATTAAAGTGTTACATTCTTATTAAATTGGTCTGGTTAATTATTGAGTTGGTCGGTCTATATTTTTTTCCTAATTAGCATAAACATTCTGTCCCGGCTTAATCGGTAAAGTTGATGTCAGAAGGTTATGAATTTGAGCCATGAAAACAATCTCTTGCATAAATGAAGGGTAAGACTGCATATATAGACCCTTAGAGTTCGACCCTTTCCCGAATCCCGCTTACAAAAATATAAGGTAAGACTGCATACAATAGACCTTTAGGGTCTGGCCCTTCTATGAATACCGCATAGCGAGAGCTTAGTGTACCAGACTGTCCTTTAATCTGTCATTAACATATTATGTGTTGTACACTATGGGCTAGTTTGATACGAGAAATAAGGGATAACTAATCTGTGGATTATATTTGAGATGAGTTTATCCCACGTTTGGTTAGAATAAAGTAGTACTATAACTAATATTGGAATTAGTTATTTCGGAACTGTAATATTATTTTTATTTCTATGAGAAGGTGGGATAATAATCTCAAAATAATTAATCCTAAAATAATTTATTTCCAACCAAACGACCCCGATGAGAATATTTAGTCTATTAAATACAAAAATGGTGGTACATATTTTTTATGGAACTAATGAATGCAAGATATATATCAATTAATATATGTATTTTTACTTCAACTTTTAGTTATTGAAGCAAATTATATTTTAGTGTAAATACTAAGTGCTAGTAATTACTTACACAAATAAATAAAAGTGTGACGGACCTATTGAAATGATATGATTAATTGTTGGGTTGGTCTAATCTTAATTTTTCTAGTTAGAATAATTATTTTGTTAATGACATTATGGACAGTACTATATGAGAATATTATTAGTGTCTTGAACAGAGAAAGAATAGAGTGTTCTGGAAATGGGGCCAGAGTGGGGAGAGGGATGTTGACAGATTAATATTGTGTGGTTTATTTGTTATTCTTATCCTATACAGAGTGTCAGTATTAATTATTTGAAAACATTTTGTACTTGATTAGCTGGTCTGGACCAACTTATTCACCTAATCTTTCAATAGTTGTAAGAATGTGGGCAGCTAAGCAAACTTTAGAAAATTAATAATTATCAGATAATGGGGTGCAAAACTTCTTAATTATTTAATAAACTCCCATGAAATTGTTGCCTCAGAAAAAAGCTCCATATATTTTAAAGTTTTCAATTGCCTTAAAATATTATTCTATTCAATCGGCCGGTCGAAACTATTTATATTTGTTAGCCAAAAATTAATACAATTTATCAACTATTATTTTTTAGCAGTTAAAAATATAATTTTCTTAAAAAATTCATGGATATCATCACTCCATGATGCTATTATTTTCTTTCCATCAACTAATTTATGCTATGTATTTTCGAATATCTATAATAAAGCAAATTTTCCATACTATGCAAGAATAATTCTGACATAGAAAAAGGAGATTGAGAAAATTGGAGAACAATTATCACGACAATAGAAGAACTATTTATACTTTATCTTTTTTCTACTTGTTGGATATTAGAAGCAAAGCCAAAATTTTAATCCCTTTCCAATGGACTATTCTAGGAGAACAATCACTTTTACACTAAAAAAAAATCATTAATCTTGTGACTCAATTCTTTCTTTCTTTCTTTCATGCACAAAAAAAAAATCTTTCTTTTTTTAGTTTTTCTCTTGAGTGTGTTAGCTCAAAGTATGCAATATTAAAGATCGTAAAATAAAATTCACTTAATTGATATATGTACATACTTTCATTCAGTAATCAATGAACGCTAATTAAATGTAGAAGGTAAAAAATAATATTATGAGTATTAGAGTTAGTTCATTTTGTGTATGAGTAAAACTTGTGACAGCTCAACAAACCTTTGGATCAAAATCAATTACTAGCACATATATCTTAAAAGGAAAAAATAAAGAAAAATATAATGTTATCCATGCGGCTTAGAGCATAAGCTTAGCTAAGCAAACCTAATAAAGCTCATAAGTCAAACCCTAAACCCCGTATTTTTTTGGGTTATTATCATTTTTAGTCCGAGTCAGAAATTTTTTATATTTAGCAGCCGAAAAAATATATAAAATTTGTATATAACATACAGAATATATATATATAGACAAAAAATATATAAATTTAATATATTTTTTCGACTATTACTCTTCCACGCGCAAAAAGGGCAAAAGAAAAAGAAGTGAAAAAGATATGAAGTTAATCGAATGGCTGAGGAAAAAGTAGCCGTTTTATTTGTGACCGTTAGGAAAGGGACAGCCTCGAATAAGCACATGGGCCAAGGCCCAACGGCTACGATGGGCTGAGATGAAGATCATGATCCATCAATGTCACTCCTAGCTGTGACATCAAAATGGGCCCCGTCTTTTTGGAATTGTTTTCTATAAAAAAAATGGGGTTTTGACACACTTACTCACAAAAACAAAACTATTCACCCTTATCTATCCATTTATTTTCCTGCCCATAAACTAATTACATTTCCTACCCATAGTAAGTTTTGTGGAGAATTTTTTCTTTATTCTCCAATTTTTTTTTATTTCTATGCTTATTTTCTTTTCTTTTTTCTTTTTCATTTCTTTTCTCCTTTTCTTTTTTCTCGTTTTCTTCTTATTTTTTTCTTTTTTCCTTTTGTAATTTCATTTAACTTCTTTTTTTTATATTCTTTTTCTTTTCATAATCTAATTTCATTTACTATTTTCATTATTTTTTTATTATTCTTTTTTATATATATTATTACTAAAGAAAAATCAAATTGTATATCAATTAAATGTAGCTAGTACAACCAAAAAATATTAACTAACATATGATACCAGTATAATATATAGCTATACCAACAGGGTATACAATTGTACGCAATGAGTTAAAAAAAATAATTTAATTATTAAACTAAAATAATATCAGTTGTCAATAAAAAAAATCTAAAAGGATCTAACTGTAAGAGTATACCGTCACATCTTATAGCATAATATAATTTTATTTTATTTTTGCATTTTCAATTCGCCCCTCACGCTGCGTAAAAGCTTAAAACAAATTAAAAGGGAAAAGGCAAGTGAATTTAGGGGTAATAAGTATACTATTATAGTATATTGTATACTATTACAACATATTGTTACATTATCTTGCATATTATTACAGTATACCGTAACAATATATTGTATACTATAATAGTATACTGTTGCAGTATAACTATATACTCCTATAGTATATTAGTATACTGTAGCGGTATACTATTTTGTAAACTATAATAGTGTACTGTTGCAGTAAAGCTATATATTTTTACAGCATATTGTATATCGTAGCGGTATACTATAGTTGTGTCCTTCGATTTTCAACTGAAAATTTCGATCTCAATCACCGCAAATCAGGTCCAAATGCTATCAAATTTCAGTATGAACTTCTAGAAGGTACTATAAGCAATATTTAACATCACCCACTTTGAATCAAACAAAAATTCTTCAAAAATAAAATTGACCTTCGAGCCCAACTATGGTGGATATTCAAATACACACAAAAATTTAGATTTGGGAAGCTTTCGAAGATACTATAAGCAATATTTTATAGCACCATATCGAATCAAACAATAAATCTTCAAAAAAAAAGTATTTTCTTCCTTAAAACTTTACTATAACATATAAAATTGTTGCCAGATTATTGGGGCGATTTAGAAGGAGAAGATATTGGGGCTTAAGAAGGTGCTTTTGTGATTTGAGCGCACCAGAATTTAACACAAAAAATAGAAGAACTACAATAGCAAATAATTTAGACATTTTGTAGTGCAATAAAATGAGAAAGAACTGAATAATGGCCGGGGAATTAGAAGGAAGAGAATAAATAAATTATGATGATTAATGTGTGATGAACACGAAGGGAATGTTCGAGCAGATATATAGGAAGTGAAACTAGCGGGTAAATAGTTTGGGGAATATGGGTAGTAGTAAATAGTTTGGGTATGAGCATTAAAGCGTAAATAGTTTGAAATTAATAGGTATAAAGTGAGATTTTCTCAAAAAATTGGGGCATTTGCAATTTTGCATCTATACCAACTTTTGGGGTCACGTTTTAACTTGTGCCCACGTTGCAAAAAAATTGCAAGCGTACCTATTTTTTTCGCGTAACTTCAGCATACGGGGTTGAAGTAGCAAAGGCAATCACGCAAAACTTCAACATTCCAGTAGACGAGCCTGAAATAGCAAGTGTGTTGAACCAAATATGCTGAAGTTTTTGTTTGTAATTGCTGAACTTAAGCATAGTGGCTGAAGTTTTTGTTTGTAATTGCTGAACTTAAGCATGGTAGCTGAAGTTTTGTTCTCTATTTGCTGAAGTTTTTATTTGTAATTGCTGAACTTAAGCATAGTAGCTGAAGTTTTTGTTTGTAATTGTTGAACTTAAACATAATAGCTGAAGTTTTGTTCTCTATTTGCTGAAGTTTTTGTTTGTAATTGTTGAACTTAAGCATAGTAGTTGAAGTTTTGTTCTCTATTTGCTGAAGTTTTTGTTTGTAAGTGCACTAAATAAGTTGAAGTTTTTTTGTCCTGGATTCAATAGTTTTGTCATTAAGCTTTTTCAAAAACTTCATCAGAAGATGCTGAAGTTATTTAGTTCATTTATAAAAATTTCAGCAGCAAATAAGCTGAAGTTTTTTTGTCCTGGATAAGCTTTTTCAAAAATTTCAGCAGAAGATGCTGAAGTTATTTAGTTCATTTGTAAAAACTTCAGCACTAAATAAGCTGAAGTTTTTTGTCCTGGATTCATTAGTTTTGTCATAAAGCTTGTTCAAAAACTTCAGTAGAAGATGCTGAAGTTATT